TCTTTCCCTCAAGGTGCAGGGTGAGGTAAGGTAGCGGCCCAGCCATGGCAAGCCCCTCAGGATGTCTCAGCATTGCTGAGTGCACTGATGGCCTCCATGCTTGTACTCATGCAGCTGTGTCCTGACCGCCTCTTGGGCAGGAGCATTGCCAGACGAGAGCTCTCTCCTTTGGTGTCTCCACACTTGGGCAGCCCTGGCTGGCCCATCAGGAGGCCCTGTAAGGTCACACAATCTCTCTTGCTGCCGGTGCCCAATCCTTTGGGGCAGGAAGACCCAATTGAATTCAAACGACTTCACTTGCCTCCAGCCCTCTCAAGGAGCTTCCTGATGGTGACCAGGTGATGCTGTGGGAAGAGACTGAGCTGTGCGGATGAGGCTCTGGGCTGTCTGACAGTCGCTTGTCTGCGAGTCACTCGCCTTTGTGCTGCTTTGGGGCTGCTCACGGCAGGAGGACAAAGCAGAGCTGAATCCATGATGCTACAGCTGTGCTCAAACACTCAGTGGGGAGGTGGGAAAGTAGAGGCGGTCACAGGTCGGGGATGAATTGCAGGTCAGGGATGAATTGCAGTGGCAGATCAGAGAGGACCCTAGGGCTAGAATAGGAGGGGCAGCTGAATGGCACTGCACCACGTGCGGGAAATCCTATTCTGATGCATTCACATGGTCTAGCTGGTTTGGTGTTTCTGTGTTTAAAGGCCAGGGCAGATGAAGCCTGGAGACGTAGGCAGGTGTCACTGTAGTTCCTTGACATGGCAGTTCCGCACTAAAGTCAAACCTCTGGTGCCATCTAGCGCCCAAGGAGTTGCACAGAGCTACCTGGCCCTGTCGTGCATGTTGCTGACCCTTGCAAGATCTCAAGTGGCTGCTTGAGGTAGTACCTGTTAGCTTTTGAAGACAAGGACAGGGGCAGCTGCAGCATGGCAGGAGGCCAGAGCGGTGACACCTCTCTCTCCGTTTCTGGAAGCAGGAACATTTTCAGATTGTTTCTGGGTTCCTTGAAACAGTTGAAGCACCACTGAATCCTGCCTCATCAGTGAAAAGTGCCTGATCTAGAGCAGGGGTGTAGGTTGTAGCCGTGTTGGTCTAAGGACATAGGCAGACAAGGTTCTTTGGGTGAATCTGATATCTTTTATTAGACCAACTTAAATAATTGGAAAACAATTTTTAAGCAAGCTTTCAGGTTCAAAAACCCTTCGTCAGGCTGAGGAAGTTTCTGCAGTTGGTGTGTGCTCTTCCTGGATGGAATGAAAAATAAAGAAGCCAGCGGCTGGTCTGGTCTGCATACAAGACGGGCAGTCAGTGAAGATGTAGATTGGGGAGTCAATGGATGAGAGGCAGGGTGGGTCGGGGGGAGAGAAGGGGGGTGAATAGTGGAGAAGTACCTGGGGAGTCAGATGACAGGCAGGTTATAATGTGTCGTAAATCCAGCGTCTATATTTAGTCTATGATTTTTAGTATCCAGGAGGTTGATGAAGTGGAATTCGTAGGCTCGTCTCTGGGAAGTGTTGTATAAGTTTCCTTTGAGAGGATCAGGACTGAGAGATTGGAGAGAGCGTGGTTTTCTTGTGAGAAATGTGCCCCCACAGATAATTGGAGCAAACTTTTTATAACAAAAAAAGACTTGCTCCATCTCTCCTGCCTTTTCCTTTTCTCTTGCCTCCATTTTCCCCTCTGCCTTGCCGTGTCTGCTCTGCAGGTCTTTTCCTGCATCTGCAGTCCCCAAGCAATTAGCTATTCCATTATTTCTTCTCCTTTCACAATATTTCCCACCCCCCTCGTTTTTTCCCTTATGAAACCTTCTCTTCCAGATATTTCTTGTGTCATCCTTTGATCCCCATCTCTTCGTATTTGCTGTCTGTCCTTGTTTAACACAGGTGGGCTCTTGGAAAAGCTGCCCGCCGCTGACAGATCTCTTTCTCTCTCTTTTTAATGATTTGCAAGGAACCATAGAAAGGCAGTTAGGAGGATTGCAAAGACAGAAATGTTGCACCTGTGGTGTTCATTGGAGTAGATTGGTGCCTTATTCACAGCCCACCAGATGATAAACTGGCAGAAAATTACAAAATAGGATTCAGCAAAGAGCCATTAGAACCAGAGTTAAAATGATTCCTTCCTGCGAATGTGCACCAAGGGCTGTAGTGTCTTATTTGAGTGAGATCTTGAGACTGGAAAGAGAACTGTGGACATATAGGAGAAACCGGTTGGTTCGGAAGAGGATGCAACAGGGTTGAAGAGAAAGGTGGATTTCCCGTTGGAATCGAGTGACTGAAACAGGTCAGCGCCGAGAGGTCAGGACAGAGGGAATGCAGCCTTACAGGAAAAATCAAGGCTTGAGGATATCCTGCAAAGGTGCCCAAAGGCAGCTAGCAGCTATGGTACTGTTTGAGGTCCAGTGACCTGTTTTTTTACTCTTGCCTCTACCCTGCTGGGGCATTTTGGGCAAGTCACTTTTCCTTAGCGTGCCTCTCTTTTTCCTCCTGCTCCCCATGACCGTATGATCTGTGTAGTCTATAAGCTATTTGGAGCAGAGATCCTCTCTTGCTAATTGCCTGTACTGTGCCTATCACAGGAGAGAGTTTAGTGGAGGGCAATGAAAATGGTGAGAGGGCTGGGGCACATGACTTATGAGGAGAGGCTGAGGAAACTGGGCTTATTTAGTCTAGAGAAGAGAAGACTGAGTGGGGATTTGATATCAGTCTTTAAGTACCTGAAGGGTGATTTCAAAGAGGATGAAGCTAAACTGTTCTTAGTGGTGGCAGTTAACAGAACAAGGAGCAATGGTCTCAAGTTGCAGCAAGAGAGGTGTAGGTTGGATATTGGAATAACTTTCTCACTAAGAGGATAGTGAAGCACTGGAAGAGGTTTCCTAGAGAGGTTGTGGAATCTCCATCCTTGGAGGTTTTTAAGGCCCAGCTCGGCAAAGCCCTGGCTGGGACGATCGAGTTGGGGTTGGTCCTTCTTTGAGCAGGGGGTTGGACTAGATGTGACCTCCTGAGGTCTCTTCCAACCCTCATTGTCTATGATTCTGCCATTCTACCATGCCAGGAAACTGGTTCTCGTTGCAACCTCTGGGCATTGCTGGAATGTGAATAGTAGCCTCCAGGGCTGAGATTTCTCTTGTTGCTTCAGTGATAAGTTTCAGTCTTTGCTGTGTATCAGTGCAGGATCAGCTACAATTTGCTCACAATGCTGATTTGCTCTCTGAATTTCTTCTGAAAGCAGAGTAAAAACCATGCAGACTACCTCTTTCGCTTCCTATTACAGCCACAGGTATGAAAGCAGACCCTTGCCTTGCTTGAAGCCCCCCTACTGTGAATGGCAAAGAGCTGTAGCAGATGAGACTCCATCCTTCGTGTTTCTAGTAGAGGGGGATTGTTTACTGTTGATGCTTGCAGTATTGCAGAGCTGACATGGGTTGAGTTACAGGATTATCACCAAGGCAGAAGTTGCAGCATAAATATACTGTCCCAATACAGAGGTGAGCTGAGCAGGGGGTTACCTTAAGGTCTGGATGGCTGTGATTCCCCTGTGACAGCTCCATCTGCAGGTCTGTCATTGGAAGAGGGTGCAGCTACTGCTCTCAGACAGCTGAGGGCAGCAGTGCCACAGGATTGGGACACAGCACCCATCTTCCATGCCTCCTGAGAGTAGTCTCCTGGCCCAGGAAGGCTGTCAGATCACCTGTATCCTGCCCTGACCTTGGGTTGAATGGCTGCAGGGTGTTGTGTGCATTGTGTTCAGAAAGGACTTTCTTTGTGGTGGGATGGGTGTGAAAGCACCCAAAGCTAAGCAGGCATGGGCTGGGTTGGTGCTTGCTTGGATAAGAGAAGTCTAAGGGAAGCGGCATGCTGAAAGATAGCATCCGTGTGCATCAGTAAGGGGTGCTTTTCCTCAGGAATCACCGCTGATGTGACCCCCATTGCTAGGGGTTCTGCTTTATTATTGGCAGCACTGTCTTTCAGATGAGCGTTCTCCTGCTGACCATGAGTGATCATTAGACTTCAGAAGAGCTCTAGAGTCCAGGTCAGATTCAGGTAGATACTATGCATCCTATCCTCCCTGCCGTACAAGTGGGATTCAGGGGAGTTCTTCACGTTCTACCATGAACTGTTGGGTTGTTGTGGGCTTCCAAGCAGCTGCCATGTTCATCCTCAGAGCTGGCTGCATTTTGATGGTAGCATATTATATCCATCACAATCCTGAAAGACCCCCACAGAGCTACCGCTGATTTCAGGGCAAGCCCCATGAGCAATGAGAGCACTATGTAATGCCAGGCCAGGGAAAGACAGAGGCAAGGAGAAAGTTTGGTCCCACTAGTGATGGAGCAAACATTGGCAGAGAGGGAAATGGACAGGAACCCCAGTGCTGTGGTCTTGGGGGTAAATCCCTAGGCATCCTCCATCTTGTTCCCAAGGATTTCTTGGCACCCATTCAAGGGGAAGGGGAAGGGGAAGGGGAAGCTGAGATGAGGTGACCTCTTGTTCTCTGGGGCCTTCTGCTCTAAGGCCCCTGGTTTGCACAGTGTTGTGTAGCTTTGGGCCTGTCTCACTGCTATGCCTGTTTGTGTGCTTTCTGACCCCAGGTGCTATAGAAATCCAGGTCCCTGATGACCCTGTGGTTGCCCTCTTTGGACGAGATGCCACCCTCTGCTGTTCCTTCTCTCCCGATGCCAACTTCAGCCTGGACAAGCTCAGTCTCATCTGGCAGTTGACTGACACCAAGCGCCTGGTGCACAGCTTCTCTGGCGGGCAGGATCAGCTAGCCGACCAGGGTGGAGGATATGTCAACCGCACGGCCCTCTTCTACGACCAGCTGCCCCAGGGCAACGTCTCACTGCTGCTGCGGAGGGTGCAGATCTCTGACGAGGGCAGTTTCACCTGCTTTGTCAGAGTCCAGGACTACAGCAGCGCAGCTGTGATGCTGCAGGTGGCTGGTGAGAGATGGAGAAGGGCTTCCATTGTAAAGATTGCTAGGCCAGGGCGCTGCGCCCCCCCGACATATGCCCTAGATGATATGTGCTGACCTGGGGCTTCATGCAGTCTCCCGTGCTCTTACAGAATATTTTTGTCTCTCTCCCTGCTCCTCCATGATTTTTCTATCCTATTCCCTCCCCTAGTTGTCTTCTCACAGGCAACCCATCTCTCCCCCTTCATCAGAGGCCTAGGGATCTTTCCTCAGATCCCTGACTGTCTTGCTCCTTGTGAAAGATGGGCTGGATCTGAATGTCAGAGGGGTGGGTAGAGAAGGTGGGAACAAGGGTTGTCTGCAAATCTAGAGCTGAGCATTTGGGATGGAGCTAGAGCTCCAGCACTCCAAGCTCCAGGAAGGCTCAGGAATGGAGTTTATTTCCCACTGGAGAATATCCCAACTTTGATTGACTCTGAGGATTGCCTCAGTGAACTGTACTGAGGTCTTGGAGCCAACCCCCAGAACCATTGTTCCTGGAGGTGACAGGATGGCTCATGCTACTGATACCTCCCAGCAGCGATGTACATGAAACCATCTCACCTGGTCCAAGCAAAAAGGGGGGTCAGAAGCCACCCTCCGTGGCTGGCCCTGGCCTTTCCTGTGCTATGTGCTGCCCCTGGAAACCTTGGTTCTAGGGGTAAGAAACTCTT